CCAGGCAAATACACCCTCCCTCCCCCATGTCCCCTTGCGCGGCACCCCCCCAAGCCCCATCCCTGATCCCGCCCCCCTCGCAACCTTTCCCCTCAACCTCCCTCTCGACCTCCCTACCACCCCCACCACCTCAAATCCCCCCTCCGCGCCTCGACACCCTATCCCCTTATCCCCTAAACTCCAGCTCCCGCCGCGTCCGCTTGACCATTAGGTCGTGATGTCCACCGCCTCCGCGCAGCACAGTGCTCCCCCGACGATTGACAGGATCGGGTGGTGGGGTCCCGCCGCGTCCGCTTGACCATTAGGTCGTGATGTCCACCGCCTCCGCGCAGCACAGTGCTCCCCCGACGATTGACAGGATCGGGTGGTATGTATGTATGTATGTATGCGTGGACGTGGGTTTATCTGTTGTGGGGGCCGGGGACGCCGTGTGTTGTACCCTGGGTTTATCACGGGGTCTGCCATCTGCCGATCGATGCTTTAAAAATGAAAATTTCCTGTCGTCGTGATATAGCAGTGTGCGTCAAACTCCTCAAAATTGCTATATTTCTGCTGCAATCAAACCACGAGCCCGCCGACTCGAGCTATTTGCGATCGATCCTTCCAAAAGTCAAATCAATAGTACTAGTTAGTTGTTATGATGGCCAAAACGGCACGGATGAGGCGAACCACGCAGGCACACAACCTACATCGGACACTCCCCTCTTTCTGTTCGATTAAATAAAAGCTTGGTCGTCGCCGTATACATGTACCTGAGGGTGGTTGATAAGAACAAACCCTACCCTTGCTCCTTCCTCTCAACGAATCTATTTATTTTGTTTGCGAACAAACATCCCTGAACCCTTGAGCATTGATGTTCCTGTACGTGGCATGTTTGACAGGTCAAGGCGCATATCCGCAAGTACGGTGCTGTGACATCGTGGTTTATCGTGTACCAAGACTTCGTGTGGCGGGGTGATGACGAGTGAGCGAATTGCATTCGAGTGTATGTATGTGTGTATATTATGTATGTTGTTACAGGGTGGTATAGCCTCACTAGCGGCCTCCCCTTTCCCTTGGAGGCAGTTCCCTGCTCTCCCCTGCGAGAGGGGCACTAATCTGAAGTCGTGGTGTAACAGGGCTTGCGTGCTTGGTTATGAACTAGCAGTGCTGAACGCAGCAGAGCTGAAATAATGAACATGAAATAACATTATATACTATTGGTGCCGAATCATCGATACATGCGATCATTTGGCTTATAATATAGGTCACTAGGTTGCAACATTGTTGTCGTACTGTCATGTTGTTGCCGTACCGTCGTCACCACGTCATGTGTACTGCAGGCCTTATAGATGGGATGGATACAGTGCGCTCGCGGGCTATCACCAGGTGGCGGTAGTTGGCTACAGCGATGTGGGGTGAGTGGTGCGTGTGGTTGTTGTAGTGGGCTCCAGACCCACGAAGAGTAGTGCATGTGTGTATATCCCGGGTGTATCACGGGATCTGACATCCGCCGATCGGTACCTTTCTGAAACCGTGATATAACAGTCGTGCGTGTGTGCGTGCGTGTTTTGGGACCCTCCACCAAAGTTGTACGATAGATAGAGCCACCCCACGCCGGGGGTTGATACTGCTCTGCGGGTGTTTGCAGTCTTCGGCATCTACCTTCCATCCCTGCAAGGTTAAGATGTCTTACACCTGGTGCATGCAAGTATATGCCGTGGTGAATCATGTATTATTATCTATCTAAGTACTATAGTAAATAATTATGTAAATACTGAAGATAAGTAGGAGTGTACGCTCCTGTAAGGATATGCAAACAGGGAAGTGGAGCATTGAGTGTATTGAGTGTATTGAGGGCACAATAATAAATGGCAAGGACTGCGGCGTATATAATTGTAAAGGGGGCAATGTTCGCGCACTAAAGGGATTACGAGAGGGGCTTTATGGGAACCAGGGTTTTGATGTATGTATGTGCTTATTATTAAGTGGTTCTACTGGTGGTCAGGTACACACACACACACAATGCATGCATGCATGCATGCACATGCTCCACGCATATGTGACATCCACACATATGCGTGGATCACATGCATGATCTACATTTCAAGTGGCTTTTCTAGCAACAACAACACACCACGCATAAACAAGCATGCTGTACGACAAGTATTACTTGAGCCCAGATAGGCACTTATGTACGGCAATGCCTAACATTACCAGAACCAAATAGGACTCACTCGCTTGTTCCATTGCCTGATCTGCCGCCCTCCAGTTTGATACCCTGAATTGTGTCCGTTCCTTACATACATACTTACTCTCATGTACGCACTCTTCACGTTTGCCTTTGCCTTTGCCTGGCGACTGGCGACTGTTGACTGATGGCGGTGGTAATAAAAAGGGAGTACTGGATCATGAAGAACAGTTGGAGCCACTACTGGGCTGATCAAGGCTTTCTGAAGGTTTCGTATTACGCCAATATTTGCTTTATGTTGCTGTACGAAGGCGGCATCATTGGATTCACATGGACGCCGGACCCAAAACCCCCGTCAGATCCGGCAGCCCTGTCCCCGGCCCCGCCGCCGCCACCACCGTCGCCACCACCGCCGCCCCCTCCACCGCCACCACCGCCACCGCCGTCGCCACCGCCATCGCTGCCACCACCACCCTCACTGCCACCGTCGTACCCACCTCCGCCATCGTCATACCCACCTCCGGATCCGCCACCGCCGCCCCCTCCACCGCCGCCACCGTCACCACTGTATCCGCCGCCACCACCGCCGCTGCCACCGCCGCTGCCACCGTCGCCACCGCCGCCACCGCCACCCCCTCCACCGCCACCGTCGCTACCGCCGTCTCCGCCACCCTCACCGCCTCCGTCGGCCCCTCCGCCGCCCCCACCACCGCCACCGCCGCCACCACCACTGCCATCACCACCACCACCGTCACCACCACCACCGTCACCACCACCACCGCCACTGCCATCACCACCATCTCCCAGACCGCCTCTTCCACGCCCACCCTCGCCTCGGCCACCCTCGCCTCGGCCACCCTCGCCTCGGCCACCCTCGCCACGGCCACCCTCGCCTCAGCCTTGGCCACCGTCACCACCACCGTTGCCGCCTCCCTCCACCCCGCCGCGCCCCTCCACGCCCCCCTCCGCACCCTTCACCCTTGCCCCCGTCTCC